GAGCCAGCCAAAAAGGCAGGAAGACCTGGGTTCAAGTTTTACCTTTCCTATATCATGTGTGACCCTGGCAGCAAGTCCCTAAATCCCTCAGGGCAGTAGACAGCTCTCTAAGACAATAAATGGCTAAGAAGATGCCCACCTGCTTTGGTAGAGAGAGTTTCTTCATTGGGATGCCTTTCCACCCATGAAATGACAGGTCCCATCCCCATCTTTCTTCATCTCCTCCTCTCTACCTGCTCTGTCTTGGTGATCATGTCCTTTTTGATTTCTCACGTTGAAGCTCCCTCTTAGACACCCTTTGGTAAGGCCATCAGTTCTTCAGCCTCCTCACATGCTCCCCTTCTGTCAGGAATGCGGATGGTCACCATCACCCAATGAGCTTTCTACTTCTTTGATCACAGCCCCAATAGCTCTCTTTCTGACTTGGACCTCCTGACATTCCATGCCTAACCTTATCATGACCTCCAGTCCCTCTAGCCCTCAGTACTTTCTCAGACCATTGCCACCATCCTGATGTTGTTTTCTTTCCAATAGACCTAGAGCTAGTTAAACAATTCATGTCTATTTGTGCCTCTGCTAGCTGCTTTCTCATCCTCGTCAGCCCTGGTGTACTTTTTTTTTTTTAAGGCAGTTGGGGTTAAGTGACTTGCCCAGGGTTACACAACTAGTAAGTGTCAAGTGTTTGGTCTGAGGCCGGATTTGAACTCAGGTTCTCCTGATGTCAGAGCTGGGGCTCTATCCACTGGGCCACCTAGCTGCCCCTAGCCCTGGTTTACTTAAAGCACCTATCTACCTCCTCTGGTCCTACTCATGTGCTGAAAATTATGAGGCTGAGCTGATGGGTGACATTACAAACAAGATCTCTAACCTCAACAGGACCCTCACTGCAACAGACAATCCTTTCTCCTACTCTATGTCCCACTCCCCATAGAAACTCTTCCCAACGTTCTCTTCTGTTCTTGAGCTTCCCACACCTTTCCTTCACTCTCTCTCTCAGCTGAGGACCCTGCCTCTTATTTTACTGAGGCCACTAAACACAAACTCCCTCTTTTTACTTCTCTTTATTTCAAAACCCTTCAACATCATCCTCTACTCTTTCCTTCTATCTTCAAGCCTCTGATAATGAGATGGCCCTTCTCTTTATCCAATTGAGCCTCTCTGCATTTGTCCTTGATCTCCAAAGTGGACAAATGATCTCTTAATTGCCAAGTCTGGTTGGCTTTTGCCAGCCCTCATCTTTCTCGACCTCTGTGCTTCGTTTGACCCTCTTGAGCACCCTTATCCTCTGGGATAGTCCCTACTCTCTGAGCGTGGAGACCTCTCCTGGTTCTCCTTCAAGCTGTCTGACCATTCTTCCCTTCAGTTGCCTTTGCTGGTTCATCATCCATATTACACACACCTGAACTGTGGGTGTGCCCCAAGGCTCTGCCCTGGGCCTTCTTCTCTCTGTAAAGTCTCATCAGTTCCCATGAGTTTAATTATCATCTCTCCAGAGATGACCCCCAGATCTATAAATTCAGCTTTAGGCTCTCATCCTCACGTCAGTCCCACATCAACGACTGCCTGTTGGACAGTTCCATCTGGATGTCCCATGGGTACCACAAACTTGACATGGTCAAAATAAAACTCATTATCATTTCCCATAAACCCATGCTTCCTCTTAACTTCCCCATTTCTATTCAGAGCCCAACATCGTTCTAGTCATGCCAGTTCACAAGCATTTATGAAGTGCCAGGAATGGAGGCAGAGATACAAATTCAAAAGCCAAGTCAGTCCCTGTCTTCAGAGGGCTCACAAGACAAATCTTTTTCAAATTGATTTGAATTGCCTCCATCTTGGGAATCCCATTTTGCTCAGCTTTGAGAACAGAATAGGGCTAAATAAATGCTACTGATAATAAATTTGATAACAAGCACATAATGTTTCTGTCCACTGCTTCATAGTTTTCTAAAGGCAGGCTTCTTCTAGATTTCCATTTGCTAGTCAGCTGCAGTTACAGGAAATGTGTTTATCCCCATCAACCTGGGTAATGACATAATCCCAAGATGGCAGGAGCCTTGCTTCTTGGCTTGCACATTTTTCCTCAAACACCTGCAAGTACAGCAAACAGAAAACCACCAACTGATGCCTCCCTCTGGCCCTTCTGTAAGAGGATAAAGAACATGCCAGAATGATGCTGGCTAGTTTTTATGAAGGGCCAGAGTCCAATTCCACACCCTCTCCTTTGTTTGACTTGCATTTTGAGAGTCAATGGCATGCTCCCACCAGGGTGGCCTCGTGGGGAGCCGGGAAGGCTTAGAGTCAGGGAGGCCTGCCTTAGATAGTGACCCTCTGGGGACTACATAGGGGGAGATATCCACATTGGTTTAAATCCCTAATCTGCCTGAAATATAGGACTAATTTAACCTATCACGTCCAAGAGGTGGTGTTGACGCAGTGACCAAAAAGTCCTGCATCTTAGGGAATTGAGCCTAGAATGTTGAGTGACTCTGGGCAAGTCACTTTCTTTCTTGCTTTCTCCTTTCTCAGATGGGGATAATGCTGTACCTGTAGAAACTCCCTCACAAGGTTGTGGTCGGGCCCCAGTGAGACAGCAGTGTAGGCACAGACCTTGCAGTGCTAAGTGTCTGTCTTGGTCAGAGTGTCCTGCAGCTGTGTGCCCTGGGGAGCCCCATGAACCAGGGGCAAGTGAAGCGAGTGCTGCTGCCTTTCACCTCAAAACATATGGATGTATTTAGTTCGCTATGTTCTTGTGACAAACCTTTCTTTGTCTGAATGCAAGGTTGCTTGTTTTAGCTTTGGGGGCCACGTGAGGAAGAAGAGACTGGGGACCTGGACAAGATGTTGGTCTAGCAGATGCTTCCGAAGATCTTCAGAACCCCTACCCCCATCTCTCTTATTGCAAAGACTCTGGCAAGCCAGTCAAAGAGGGGTGTGGGAGTGGAACAGCCACTGAACACCAGAAAGCAGCATTCAGTTGCAGGGCTCAGTTAGTGATAAGCATTTACTAAGGGCTCATGAGGTCCCAAACACTGTCCTAAACATTACAGATACAAAGACCAAAGATGAACAAATCCCTACTTTCAATCCAGGAGAGACAACAGGTATGTATGACACAAAGAGGCATGGAAAGGTGCTACACTGATGATTTTATAGGTGCACAGAATACCTTCGTGAGGAAATTCCTTCTATCAACTTCACAGGAGCACAATGTGAAATTTAGAGGCATCAAGAGTTGCTCTGAACCCCAAGGGCAAGGTTCCCAGAATCCCCAGCCAGCAGGTGTGACTGAGGAAGGTGTGGAATCCAGTTATTCTAGGCTTCACAACTGGCTCCCCACTACCCTGTGGGTGTCTGACTTGTCACCCCATCTGGCTTGTCTTGGCAAAGACACTGGAGTGGCTGGCCATTTCCTTCTCCAGATCATTTTACAGAAGAGGAAACTGAGGCAAACAGGGTGAAGTGACTTGTCCAGGGTCACACAGCTAGTAAGTGTCTGAGACTGGCTTTGAACTCAGATCCTTCCGACTCCAGGTCCAGTGCTCTATCCACTGTACCACCTAGCTGCGCTTCTACTACTTCTACACAAAGTAAAAGCAAGCTCATTGGCAGCGGGAGGTGGGAGGAGAAGGGTAAGGGAGAAGAATCAGGAAAAGGTCTTAAGGATCAGCTCTCTGCTACTTTGCCTATTTTTTTTTCTTTTAGCCTTTACTGCACCTAGTACAATTAATAACAATAGCATTTATATAGTGCTTTAAGGTTTGCAAAGAGTTTGAAAAGCGTTCTTTTACTTTATTCTCACTACCACCACATCACTCCCTTACTCAGTAAACTCCAGGGGCTCCCTGTCACCTCCAGAAGCAAATACAAAATGTTCGGTTTGGCATTCAGAGCCCTCCATAACCTGGCCCCTCCTACCTTTGCAGTCTGCTTACACCTTGCTCTCGGATACATACTCTCCTATCCAGGCTGTATCACAAACGAGACCTCTGACCTGGAGCATTTTCTCTGGCTTTCTTCATATCTGGAATGCTCTCCCTTCTCCTCTCCTACTTCTGGCTTCCTTCCAGGCCTAATTAAAATCCCACCTTCTACAGGAAGCCGCCTTCCCTCCCTTAATTGTTTCCTATTTATCCTATACCTGGCTCGTTTGTCTATTTGTGTGCTGCAGGGCAGGGACTGTCTATTGCCTCTCTTTGTACCTCTTGCTCTCCGGACAGTGCCTGACACACAGTCGGCACTTAGTGTTTTTTGGCTAACTCACTGACCACCCTGGGAGGTGTGCTGTCACTGAAATAAACGTCAGGAGTGGAGATGGAGCAGCCAGCGGGAGGTCGGGATGGTGGTGGGGCGGGGGGCCAAACCAGCACCCCGCTTCCCAGTGTTCTCCACTTATTTTCTTCCCGCGGCTCCCTGGGGTACATGTCCGGGACCCCTTTTGGGGCTACGGTCCGCTCAGTTCCCTAGGCCGTTGTCTCCAGCAGCCTTTTTGCATTATGTTTCAGCTCATTTGACCAAACTTTGGATCAAAGTGGGAAAGAGGCGGGCTTGGGCCCCTCGGGGAGTCGGCTCTTCTTCGGAGCCTCCAGGTGCCGCGGTCCTCTCTTCCCTCATCGCTGCGCCTCCTCTTTTCCTTCTCTCCGGCTCCTGCTCCAGCCCCGGGGCAGCGGCGGCCTGGACAACCTGGAGGTCCCGAGCCCCGCTCCCTCCCCCGTACGAAGAGCCGGCCCGGGGCGTACGTAGAGGTAGGCTCGCCGCCCCGCGCAGTAGCCGAACCTAGAGCCGGCAGTCCAGAGACGCCGCCCGCCTCTGGGCAACGAGCCGCAGACGCTGGTCCGCCCCCGCGCTCGGGCCCCGCCTCTCCCCGCGGAGCCCACCAATCGGAGGCCGAGGTCATCTTTCCTGGCAGGGCTCCCGGCGAGTCCCCGCCCCGCGTGCAGGAGGGCCAATCGGAGGCTGGTCCGCGGGGGAGGGGGCGGGGCCGGGCGCGCGCCTAGTCGCGCTGCGCCCGCGAGGGGCCAGTTGGCAGTTGGGAGCCGGGACGCCCCGGAGGCGGCGGCGGCGGCCGGGAGGGAGCGGAGCGGTGGCGGCAGCCGTGCGGGGAGCGGGACGTTCGGCGGGGTGAGCGGACGGCAGACGGAGGGCCGGGCAGTGGGAGGCGGGGGTCGCCTGGGGCTGAGGAGGGGCGGTTGGGCGGACGGGTTCGGGCCGGGCCGAGCTGTGGCGATGGGGGAGGGGAAGGGCTGCGGGCGCGCGGGCGGGGGGGAGGACTGCGCGTGCGCGCTCCTGCTCCTCCTCCCCGCCCCTCCCGGAGCCGCCGCCGCCGCCGTGGGTCTCCCGCTGAGCGGGAGCGGGGGCGGTGGGGCGGGGCGGGCGGCATGGAGGCCCCCCGGGGGCGCCCCCAGTTCCAGGACTTCCCGGACCGCAGGCTCCTCCGAGCTCACCTAGTCCAACTTTAGAGGTGGGGGGCGGGGACTGAGCCCCAGAGAGGCGTCCCGCGGGGACGAGGGGGCGGTGCAGAAATAGGGTTTGAACTCCCAGTCTCGGATTCCCAATCCTGCGCTCCTTGGTGGCCACCAGGGCACCTTGCATTCCTTCCTTAAGAAACAGATGAGGAAACTGAGGCCCAGAGAAGTCCCTTAACGTGCCTAAGCAGGATTTGAACCGAGACCCCTGGAACTGCAGAGCCAGCGCTCCGCACCGGGGGCCTTCTGTGCCCCTCAGTGCCAGGAAACCCCGGTAGTTGGTTCTGGTCTGGACCCGCCCCCTCCCCCCTCGGAGCTTTTTGGGCGGGTTTGGAGATTTAAGAGCCCCCCCCATTTGAGAAGATTGCAGCTTTCAGACCCTCCTCTCTTCCCTTCCCTCCTTGTTTCCAGCCCCTGGAAGCGCTTAGCCCCCGGCACTGGCTCGCCCTTGTAGACCGGACTTGGGGGGGGGGCCTCGGACAAAGCCGGGCACACGCTGAGCTTCGGGCCTCTGTTCTCCCCTTTCCCCCAAATCCCTGTTTCTGGTCGCTTCGGCCGCCCCCCCCCCCCCCCCCGTGGACGAGGAGATACCTTTTCCCGAAATAAACCGTCTGTTGAGCAGCTGGTAGACACGGGCGCTCGGGTCGGGGCAGCATCCGGGAGGGAGGGTGAAGACGGGAAGCCGAGTCTGGAGTCACTTCAGGAGGCTGGACGGCCACGCTGTACGTGAGCCGTGGGTCCCCAGGCTTCGGACTCGCAGGGCAAGAGCCCCGGGCTGATGCTGGTCTGCCTGGACTGCCCGTGATGACCTTCGAGGGGAGAGGACTTTTCATAGCAAGTTAATCTCTGAGGACTTAATTCTAGCTTAACCACCCTGCTTTTATGTTTAAAAAGTTAATGTTTAAAAACTGGTTTTACGAACTCATTAAGTTGTTGCAGTGAGTCGCCACGGTGAGAGAAGATAGCAGTGGTGAGAGGGAGGGGTTTGGGGAGGGAGCTCCATCCCGGCCGCTGTGGGATGGTCTTTGGGGACTCAAAGCATTTGCCTGGTGGCCTTGGGAAAGCGTTTCAGGAAAGTCAGGGACAAAGGGGTGCTGTACCATATGGTCACTCCCTGGCTAAGCATATTGATGAAGGGCAGGGATTGTATCATCCCGACTTGGGAAAACATCCCAAGGTGTCAGGGAATCTCCATAAGGAACAGTGGCCCCTAAACATTGGACAGTAGCTTGAAAAGTCGTATACATCTTTTACTACCTCTCAGACTTCCCGAGAGAAGCAGTGATCATGAAAAAAACATTTAAGACATTAATGAAAGAAAAATAATAGGGAAAATAAAAGGAGGGAAAAATTGTCAGGAGAAATGTTTTTCTCCAAGTTTTGGTTCTCAAGCACATGGGTACTTAAGAGTGAGGAGCAGCCAGGCCCTCTGGAGAGACAGGTCTTGCTCATGGCTACTCGGTGGTTCCCTGTTTGGGCTAGTGTCTAAGGGGTGTTGGACCAGATGACTCTGATGTCTTATTTAACGTGAGATTCTAGGAAGCACTTTTGTGTCTTCCATGTTGCCAAGCAGAGTGACGTGCAGGTCAGAAATGCCCATAAAATGTTTGTGTAGATCAGTTATTTAATCACAGAATCTCAGAGCTGGAAGGGACGTCAGAGGCCATCTAGTGCACCCTCCCTGAATCTGCAGGCCCACCCGAGAAGTGAGCAGCCAGCCTTTGCTTGAAGATAAGCCCCCAGTGCAATGCCTTGTACATGGTAGGTGTTTGTTAAATTGACCCAAACGGACTGAGAAGGAAGCAGGGTAGGGGAGGTGGGGAAGACGCCAAGGTGGCCCTGTGGTGGTCCTGTCACAAATGCTGGTACATACACAGGCTTTACCCTCGCCATGGTTACGGTGTGACATAATCTCCAGGTCTGCTCAGCCCATACCTGAACGAACGCCGCTGTCCAACATCCCTGGCAAGAGGCCTCTCCCTAGGCCCCAAACTGCTCTTTGTGCTGCCCTCCAAGGCCAAGCAGAGCAAGGCTACTCTTTCTTCCACATGACGGCTCTTCTTCACAATGTACATCCTCACTTCCTTTAACTAGTCTACACTTGTCTCAAGGTCCTTCATAGTCTTCTGGACCATCTCTAGCTTATCAGTGTCCTTTTAAAACTATGGTGCCCAGACCTAAACACTGAAATTCAGATGTGATCTGACCTGGAAGGCATATATATAGCAGTACTGTGTCCTCACTTCTTTTGGTCAGTAAACCTTTCTTACTGCATGTAGACCACCCTTGTGTTGGATTTCTAGACTACTGTATCACACTACCGACACCCATCTAGCCTGCTGGCCATTTATACCCACTCGCAACTAGCCCTTCCACCATCTTGTATTAAAAAAGTCAGGAAAAGAGGGGAAGTAAGCATTTATAAAGCACCTGCTGTATATCAGGCACTGGGTTAAGCATTTTGATGTGATTCTCACAATAGCCTTGTGAGGCAGGTGCTGTTATCATCCCTGTTTTATAGTTGAGGAGACTGATGAAAACAGAGATGGAGTGACTTGCCCAGGACCAGACAGCTGGTAAGTGTCTGAGGCTGAATTTGAACTCAGATCTGCCTGATTGCAGGCCCAGCACTCTAGCCACTCTGCCAGCTAGGTAAAGCCAAGTGTGAGAGCTTCCATTTTCCCCTATTTTTATGTTCTGTCTTTTCTGATTTGGTCCAATTTTTGATTGCCTCAGTCATCCGATGTGATTTTTTTTTGTGAGTTGAAAATTTAATAAGCTTGTCATCTATGTCCTTGTGCCATTAATTGGTTGAAAATATTGAGCAGCACAGGTTGTATACTCTAGAGCTAGATAACCAAGTTGCAGAGTAGATAAAGTATTTGATTTGGAATCAATAAGAACTGGGTTTGAATCCTCCCTCAGCTATGTGACCATGGACAAGTCACTTTACCTCTTGGTACCTCAGTTTCCTTTTCTGCAAATGGGGATAATACACTTTATCTTCTACCTTACAGGGCTGTGGTGGCATTTAAGTGAAATTATATATGTAAAGCACTTTGCAGATCTCACGGTGGGGTGTTGTGTGTGTGCGCGCGCGTGAGCGCTGTTAATATTATTGGAGACTTTGCAAGTTGACATCAAACTGTTAATCCCAGATTTCATTCCACTTACATTTTGTGCCACGTTCTAGAAACCAAGCCTTGTTTTCTGGCACCCTTTTTCTCTCCAGTGGCCATTCCCATCCCGAGTCTGCTTTTCTGTTTGGAAGCCCAGGCCTTTGATCAAAGGTGATGAGAACAAGGGTTTTTCCTTGCGCCTCACACCTAGTCAATGCCTGGTCAGCGTCAGCTGAATAGAATTTTGTTTCTTGCTCGAGACGTGGCAACAGTTTTTTAGGTTCTCTTTGGCAGATTCTGTCATTTGTGTCTGGGTGACTCATCAGAAGAGGGTGGAAGTTACCAGGCTTGACCAGCTTTGGGAGGCCTGTCTCCAGGCTACCCCAGCAGTCATCGCTCCTTCCCTGGACCCGGCTGGGATGGTCTCGCCAGCACCTCTGTCATCTTTCTTTCCTTAGAGGTTCCAGTTTCCTTCTCAGAGGGTTGGCTTATCTCTTCCTTCTTTCTTCCTGTTGCTCAGTGCAGTGCCTCATCCATCCATCCATCCATCCACAACCTTTTCAGGCAGTTCAAGTAACTCTTCCTACATCTCCAGATCCTGTTTGAAACCATTCCATTTTGTTTGAATGAGAACGTTCTTTGGGATGACCTCTTGGGAAGCCACTTGGCCTTCACTTCTCAAGGCAGGCCATCTTGCCCTTGGAGCAAAAACTCAAACATTTGTAGTCTCTGCATTAATCCTGCATTGGTGTGGATCCTACAAGTAGAGAGTAGGTAGAGTGGAGCTTTAGGGAATCTTACAGGTCGCTGAATCCAGCCCCCGCATTTTATATGGGGGGAAGCCAGGGCCCAGGAGAGACTAGATGATTTACCCAGGGTTGGGTAGCTGGGAAGCACTTTCTGCCCTCAAGTCCAGTGTTCGGGCCCAATATGTTTGGGAAATAAACCGTTATTGGGACATACTTTCCACATAACTATCTCTGCTGTGATGGAGGTCCTGTTGTTTTTAGTGCTTGGGGAATTGTGTAATGGTGGAGGAGCGAGTTTGTGCGCCTTATCAGTCAGAAGACTCTGAGTGTCATGAGGACTGAGTCAAGTTTTATCCATTGCCAGTGTCTGGAATACAGTCGGCAGTTAATAAGTGCTTGTTGACTTGATTTAACAGAACTGCCAAATTCGAAAATCCTTGTTCTCTTTGGACTTTTACAAGAGGACTTAACCGTGGCCTGAGGTTCTTTTTGCCTCTGCAGTACATTCAGCCCTTCCGTGGCCTGGCGGTGATGGGGTACCGAATCTTATGGGACTTATTTTTGGTGCTATAAATGAAGTAGAATTGGCAGGGTTGGATTGTTTTTTTCTCACTTACAATACGATAACCCTGTTTTTCCTTTTATTCTTGGTTTTCTATTTTCCTGCCAGTTTTGTGTTGCCCTTTCCCCATTTTGCTTTCCCAGAGTATGGTGTTCTTGGTATCATGGTGTTCTGAGAGGAAAGGCTGGCTTGTGCTGCTTTCCAGTGAGAGGTCCAGGCTCCCCAG